ACAAAAATGTATACGTTTTGCAAGGGCAATAAAAAATGATAATTACTTAGACCTGCTTGAATTCGATAAAATCGCTTTTGAAAATCGTTAGATTAAAGAAACAGATTTTAAATCGTTATCGTTATTATTATCAATTATTTTTCACAAATAAAGATTAACGTTGTTAACCGCTGGAATGGAGTTCTACTTTACATTATCCAGTGATCAATCTACAGGATTTGTATTGTGTTTGATTTTCTCTGTTTTGTTAAAATCATAACAGAAATCCCTCTTTTTCCCTCATTCTTTCATTTGCTTGATTAATCACGGGTTTATGTCTAAAGCCGTGTCACTCAATAGTAGGTATCTGTGATCACAACCGTGATTCAGTAACAAATGCTTTATTGATAATGATAATGAGTTATTCAGCTGATTTTACAGAAGTATGGTTTAAAGCCAATCATATATTCATAATGGAATATATATTTCATTCGTTTTAATTGAGTGCAATTATGAATTGGTATGAGCATCCACGGAATTAAACAATTTCAACGATCTGTCTTTGATGCATATTCTCGATTTCATTTCTGTGTGTATATATTCATTTCTAGCACTTCATTGTTCTTTTAGCAAACTTCTTAATACAATATTTTGAAAACTTTAAAAGTTTCGAAAACTCCGCTATTTTGTAATACTGGATGACTTGCCATTAGACATTATAATAGAGTCTTATTTCACACTTTTAACTTTCCTTATATTGACAGTTTCAAAGCATTTAGAGTTGTATTACAAGCCAGTTGTAACCCTTATTCTCTCTAGCCAAGAGCATCACCTGTCAAAAGTTAGACATAAGATTATTGTCAAACAATTTCTGACCGTTTAAAAACTACGGGAAAGATCCAAAAGTGCGGAAAATGGGTGCCACATGAATTGAATGAAAGACAGATGGAAAACCGAAAAAACACTTGTGAAATTTTGCTTCAAAGACACGAAAGGAAATCGGTTTTGCATCGGATTGTTACTGGCAATGAAAAATGGATTTATTTTAAGAATCCTAAACGGAAAAAATCATGTGTTAATCCGGGACAACCATCAACATCGACTGCAAAACCAGAAGACAAGAAGACAATGCTGTGTGTTTGGTGGGACCAGAAAGGTGTGGTGTACCACGAGCTCCTAAAACCTGGTGAAACCGTCAATGCTGGTCGCTATGAACAACAAATGTACACCTGGTACTTAATGAGGTCAAAGGGCATTGAACGTTTTAATCTCCGTGCTGAGTTACTTGCGTTGAGTAATTGTAAATCGTGTGCATTTTCATGTTGAGTAATTTTCATTGCGCAAACAACTGTATACATCCTTGATGGCTTTGATTCCCATATAACGATGTAGGTCTGTACTACGAATGTACCAAGATGCATTTACAATATTTCTTTGCGTTTTGTTTTGGGAACGTTGTATATCAATATATTGCTCTTAGTGGTGTATTCCCTTTACTGTATACCATATGTCCAAAGAGGCTTTAAGTTTTGATTATATATCAGGGGTTTATTATGTACCAATTCGCATAGGGTATTTCCAGTCCATTTATATATAATTTGCAGCTTGAGTCGCCATTGTTTCATCCACTTACAAATATTATTAATATAATATTAATATTAATATTATTATAGAAATAATATTAGAAATCTGGAGGGTTTTAGTTGTTTCCATTTCATTAGAACCAATTGAAATTAGAGCTGTATTATCAGAAAACGTTGCAGTTTTACAATTTTCTGTTACTAGAATATCATTAGTAAACAAAAGAAAGAGTATGGGACCAGGAACGCTTCCCTGTGGAACAACCGCTTTAATTTCTTTTAGGTTTGAGTAGCAATCTTCGTATTTAACTCTATTTGTTATATAAGATTCTATAAGATTGCAATATTGTTATGGCAAAACGTTTGTTATTTACACAAAGAACCTTTATGTCACACCTTGTCAAATGCCTGCGAGATATCAAGGAACACTACCGAACACATTTCCTTCTTTTCCAAACAGTTTTGTGTTATATTACTAATTCGATGGAGTAGTTCAATTGTTGAGTGTCGAATTGATGGTTTAGAATCAGGTTTTGGTTCTTCACTAATTGATAGTCGCTTTTTTAATGCTTTTCTTAATCGTTCAACAAAATGGATAGCAGAATTTGAGTCTATATGAACAAACTTCATATGCAGATTTGCTAGGTTTGACTACCATTATTACTTCAGCACTTTCCAAAAGGAAGGTACATATCTCAGTTTGAAGCATGTGTTGATAATGAACGTGAAAAAATAATCCAACTCAGACTTCTGGTGACATAACCATAGTTTTCACTGGATATCTTGACATCCCAAACAGACATAGACATACATGTGCAGTTTTCAGTCCAACTCTGGTTGCATCTGACTTCAATACATCCACCCTGTTTTCTTTGTTGGAGTTACCTACAATTGACGTGATTACAAGTAACCACGTTTATTTATATCTGCTTTCTAGGCAGTCGTATAGCTTCCCTTTTGTGTTTTCTATCGGTTTACCTTCTTCAAAAAGGTCATTTGGTCTCCATACCACTCAGAAAGTTAGAGGTGGTTCAGAGACCTATCCATATCTCTAGTCGACTATGGTTTATCCTCTCTGAAAGTAACATCTGTTTCAAAATCCACAAATTATTTTCTTTACTTGAATACAGACTACAAGGGCGTCCACAGCACCAATCCAAACTTTAATCATTGGCGTCTTTGTCTTCGCATTTACTGTCAATTCTGTTTAGGTGCCCGGTGTAACAATCGCGCTTACTTCCTTCTATATTAGATTACCACCTACACTAGAGTTAGCTTGGGAATATCGCTATCGCTTATCCGTTAGGTATGGCGGAAGTTCTGTGGAAAATTTAATAAATTTTAAAATCAGGTCTTTTCTTTAGAACTCTGTCCCAACAAATAAAAATTATATTGCAATGACCCTGGACAATCGCAATCGCTGAGTATACCCCAGCAAAATATGAATTTGAACACACTCGCAAAAGTGTTGTTAAAGTGCATTAATAAGTTACCTAAATTTTTGTACTAATCTATATGAAATACGGACTACTGATACGGCTTTAGTAGCTTCCTGACTTCTTTTCATGAGGGTTCATGTTGAAAAAAAGAGAACATGCTCTCAGGATGGTAAAAATGTTGGGCCTAAAATATTGAAGTAGAATCGGAGAGATAGTAGTATTTATTAATCTCTAGGTCCTTGGCAAAGATTCCAATTCCTTTATCCATTTTTTCCATTCCTTCCGTTTTAGAGAGAACACAACAATCCATACATCAGTGTAGTCCAAGAAAAAGACGCATTACTGTAATCACATGCACCACCATGGAAATCACTTGGCATCAGAATGTACTTGCAAGGTAATCAACAATAAAGTAAAATGCAAATAATTCAACGAAAATCAGCCCGCTAAATACAAGGGTTGTGAAGTATACAGATAGCTTTAGCAAAAAGCGGTTCCACCTCTCCGTAGAAAAGAGGCCATAAGACCTCCAACACACTCAGAGCTCAAGGAAGCCAAACATATTTTATTTTTAAGCTAAGAAAGAAAGAAAAAAAACAATGACATGTCAGAGTTGAATATGATGCTCAAAGCCCTGAGGCAACATATAAGTACTATGCTAAATTTTCCGCATTCGTCGATAACACTTTAAAATAATGAATACACATAAAATTTATATCTGGAATGAGCTAGCTCAACATAGCAACGAATTAAAGACATTTCTCACTAACAAAAATATTCACATCATATTAATATCTAAAACCCACTTCATCCAGAAAAGCCACTTCGAATTTCGAAATATTCTATATATTGCTCCAAACATGCATCTAAAATCGCTTGCAGAGGAGCCTCGATAGTCGTGAAAACTGATATTGATTATTTCATGCACATCAAACACTAAAAACTATTTCTTCAGTCAATATCAATAACAGTCTATATATAAAGACTATATCTATTGACTACCAAAAAGTCAACAGTTTTGAGAAATTTTTCCACACGTCCGGTTAAACATATATAGCTAATGGAGATCCAATGCAACGCATACTCACTGGAGCTCCAGACAAATAACTACAAGAGGACGAGAATTGTTTCAAACTATGCGGGCTAATAACTTGCATCACGCATCATCTAGAGCACCTACTTCTTGACCAACAGACCACAATAAAGTCGGGATCTTTAACGTACGACGCACCTTTGCGGATGACACAGTGACCATGGCTAAAGCAAACCAATTCACACTACATCCAAGTGTGACTAAACTAATAGCGCATGAAAGCCAATGAATTCAAATCTGAACAAACCACATTCAGTCTTCTCCATGGTTACTGCTCACCAGTCACAATGAATAATAACGTATTGCCGCAACCCGATCAACCGAAGTATCTGGGAGTTTATATTGATAGGCACCTAACCTGGAAACAGGTGCATAAGCAACTGAGCCTGAAATTAAGCTCTATGTATTTCCTTCTTTGCCAAAATTCAAAGCCATCACCGAACAATTATATTCTGCTGCTCAATAGTATGTCTCAAAGAGTACAGTGCGATCTCCACGTCCCATCAGTGTTTGAAGCAATATAACCAATCAGGAAAAATTACCACACAACGCCATCAAATCACCTAAACTCACTTGTACATGAGTTGTTATCAGATATCAACCATCCACGTCGAGGAGTAAAATTTTGTACGTCAGATCTGCTAAACAGAACTCAAAATACAATTCACCAAACTCCCTGATATCAGACATTTATAGGCAACTAGATATTAATCGTTTGTTGTAATTTAATCTTCAGCAGTATTTACTACTGAGTGCATCGCATATACCAACATATTCTTTCATATCTTCTTGTACCCATAGAAAATACTGAATGTCCAACAGATTACAATTATAACTGATAAAAACTAAAACAGACACAAATAAAAAAAAGTTAAAACATTTTTAAAACAGTTAGAATGCCCAAAAATTTATTCACTTATTGTTAAACACTTTTTCACATTTATATTAAATTGACTTTTCGAATATTGATTAGTAAATCGGGATATTTCTATCATTACATCCATTACTTGGACCACAAGAAGAATCTGATTGTAACTAAAAATTTAAAATTTCATATCCGATGGAAGCATATTTATTACTGATTTGATGAACAAGCTGTCCATACCGACAGCCTACTCAGGGCTAGGTTGATAATTCTGCTCAAGCTGACCAATCTGATAAGTCTGACCATACTGATTAGACTGACCATATTGATTAAGCTGAACAAACCGATCAGGCTGATCATTTAAGTTTGTTTTTTCATTTGTTATCAAATAATCATTCGGGCTTTCTTTGTCGTTTATATATCCGTCTTCATTTGGATTAGTTTGTTTATTGGGATAAAGGGAATCATAATCTGCTATTGGAAATTTTTCATATGGTGTCTCTTCCTCATTTGTAATGAGCTGTTGGTTTTGAAAGTCGTGGCTATTCGGATTTGTATTTTTCTCCAAATAACTATAATCATATGGTGTCTCTTCCTCATTTGTAATGAGCTGCTGGTTTTGAAAGTCGTGGCTATTCGGATTTGTATTTTTCTCCAAATAACTATAATCATTTGGATTCGTTTGCTTGTTGGGATAAATGTCGTTATTTGTATTCGTTTGTTCATTTGGATACACCTCTGGATTTGGATTCGTTGGATTAGTTGAATTTATATGCCCTTCTAGACCAATATCTATATTTATATTTATTGCATTGTTATTTTCAGACTGATTTTGTATTTCACACGATTGTTCATCTAGATTTGGAAAAAACTTGTTGTTGTGACCAACTTGGTTCTAAGAATTTATGTATTGAATACTACTTATTTGTTGAGTTCCACTCTGCTGACTGCTGTCATCTATCTCTCCTTCTTGCACATGCTGATCATTATCGACATAAATACCGAATGATGTAGAAAAACCTGCAGATACATCAAAAAGTTCCTTTACAAGGGTTCCAGAATCATGAAGAAATCTTCCATAACCATGGCCTTCAAAATAAAAATTATAGTTATTATATCACATCATGAATATTTGTATTGGTATTACCAATGAGTACTATTGCAAAAGTTGCAAAATTTGCTATTCGTGACATTGTCACATTCATTTCTTCAGCAGTTTTAAATTCTTTTAAAGCTGACTCTTGCTTTTATGAGAAAAAATCGTTAAAGTTTCTGTATATTACCAGATGTTTTCTGTTGCTTCTTAATTACATTTCTTAAATTTCTGATTGTGGACGACTATATACGTACCTGTGTGCATCTATGTTATATACAAATAATATGTACTTTTTATGGATCACAAAAATGTATACGTTTTGCAAGGGCAATAAGAAATGATAATTACTTAGACCTGCTTGAATTCGATAAAATCGCTTTTGAAAATCGTTAGATTAAAGAAACAGATTTTAAATCGTTATCGTTATTATTATCAATTATTTTTCACAAATAAAGATTAACGTTGTTAACCGCTGGAATGGAGTTCTACTTTACATTATCCAGTGATCAACCTACAGGATTTGTATTGTGTTTGATTTTCTCTGTTTTGTTAAAATCATAACAGAAATCCCTCTTTTTCCCTCTTTCTTTCATTTGCTTGATTAATCGCGGGTTTATGTCTAAAGCCGTGTCACTCAATAGTAGGTATCTGTGATCACAACCGTGATTCAGTAACAAATGCTTTATTGATAATGATAATGAGTTATTCAGGTGATATTACAGAAGTGTGGTTTAAAGCCAATCATATATTCGTAATGGAATATAAATTTCATTCGTTTTAATTGAGTGCAATTATGAATTGGTATGAGCATCCACGGAATTAAACAATTTCAACGATCTGTCTTTGATGCATATTCTCGATTTCATTTCTTGTATCTTCATTTCTAGCACGTCATTGTTCTTTTAGCAAACTTCTTAATACAATATTTTGAAAACTTTAAAAGTTTCGAAAACTCCGCTATTTTGTAATACTGGATAACTTGCCATTAGACATTATAATAGAGTCTTATTTCACACTTTCAACTTTCCTTATATTGATAGTTTCAAAGCATTTAGAGTTGTATTACAAGCCAGTTGTAATCCTTATTCTCTCTAGCCAAGCGCATCACCTGTCAAAAGTTAGACATAAGATTATTGTCAAACAATTTCTGACCGTTTAAAAACTACGGGAAAGATCCAAAAGTGCGGAAAATGGGTGCCACAAGAATTGAATGAAAGACAGATGGAAAACCGAAAAAACACTTGTGAAATTTTGCTTCAAAGACACGAAAGGAAATCGGTTTTGCATCGGATTGTTACTGGCAATGAAAAATGGATTTATTTTAAGAATCCTAAACGGAAAAAATCATGGGTTAATCCGGGTCAACCATCAACATCGACTGCAAAACCAGAAGACAATGCTGTGTGTTTGGTGGGACCAGAAAGGTGTGGTGTACCACGAGCTCCTAAAACCTGGTGAAACCGTCAATGCTGGTCGCTATGAACAACAAATGTACACCTGGTATTTAATGAGGTCAAAGGGCATTGAACGTTTTAATCTCCGTGCTGAGTTACTTGCGTTGAGTAATTGTAAATCGTGTGCATTTTCATGTTGAGTAATTTTCATTGCGCAAGCAACTGTATACATCCTTGATGGCTTTGACTCCCATATAACGATGTAGGTCTGTACTACGAATGTACCAAGATGCATTTACAATATTTCTTTGCGTTTTGTTTTGGGAACGTGGTATATCAATACATTGCTCTTAGTGGTGCATTCCCTTTACTGTATACCATATGTCCAAAGAAGCTTTAAGTTTTGATTATAAATCAGGGGTTTATTATGTACCAATTCGCATAGGGTATTTCCAGCCCATTTATATATAATTTGCAGCTTGAGTCGCCATTGTTTCATCCACTTACAAATATTATTAATATAATATTAATATTAATATTATTATAGAAATAATATTAGTAATCTGGAGGGTTTTAGTTGTTTCCATTTCATTAGAACCAATTGGAATTAAAGCTATATTATCAGAAAACGTTGCAGTTTTACAATTTTCTGTTACTAGAATATCATTAGTAAACAAAAGAAAGAGTATGGGACCAGGAACGCTTTCCTGTGGAACAACCGCTTTAATTTCTTTTAGTTTTGAGTAGCAATCTTCGTATTTAACTCTATTTGTTATATAAGATTCTATAAGATCGCAATATTGTTATGGCAAAACGTTTGTAATTTACACATAGAACCTTTATGTCACACCTTGTCAAATGCCTGCGAGATATCAAGGAACACTACCGAACACATTTCCTTCTTTTCCAAACAGTTTTGTGTTATATTACTCATTCGATGGAGTAGTTCAATTGTTGAGTGTCGAATTGATGGTTTAGAATCAGGTTTTGGTTCTTCACTAATTGATAGTCGCTTTTTTAATGCTTTTCTTAATCGTTCAACAAAATGGATAGCAGAATTTGAGTCTATATGAACAAACTTCATATGCAGATTTGCTAGGTTTGACTACCATTATTACTTCAGCACTTTCCAAAAGGAAGGTACGTATCTCAGTTTGAAGCATGTGTTGATAATGAACGTGAAAAAATAATCCAACCGTAATGAAAAATTTATAATCTAGTATCTGGTTTGGATCTATTGTTACAGAGGTTCTCACTTATAACAGTAAATACTAAATATGAAGCAATTCTAATTCAGACTTCTGGTGACATAACCATAGTTTACACTGGATATCTTGGCATCCCAAACAGACATAGACATATATGTGCAGTTTTCAGTCCAACTCTGGTTGCACCTGACTTCAATACATCCACCCTGTTTTCTTTGTTGGAGTTACCTACAATTGACGTGATTACAAGTAACCACGTTTATTTATATCTGCTTTCTAGGCAGTCGTACAGCTTCCCTTTTGTGTTTTCTATCGGTTCACCTTCTTCAAAAAGATCATTTGGTCTCCATACCACTCAGAAACTCAGAGGTGGTTCAGAGACCTATCCATACCTCTAGTCGACTGTGGATTATCCTCTCTGAAAATGTTACGTTCAACATCTTTTGATATTTTTTGTGAGCGGAGTTAAAGTCTGGCACGGTGGCGAGGCCAGCTAGCTCGTCAGAAAAGGGGGTGGATTATTAACTCCGCTATAGCACATTCGAACCGTAACAAAAAAATAAAAAAATCGTGCCAGAGAGTTTTGTTCAAAAAAAAACTATCACTATTTCATTGTACTACTGTGTCTACCAGTGTTTTTCTGTATTGTCCCTGTCCTTGTCTGTCGGTTTGGGCCTACCCACCCTCACTACACTACCGTAGTTACCGTTGAGCTGAGTAACAGGCCCTGTTAAATTCTCTCCAGCTCCCTAATTTTATGGTCGTCCCTGTCCTATCTAACTCATTTTTACCTTACCTAACATTGTCCCCTTTTTCACATCCACCTGTCATCTATATTTTCTGATCTTAAGCCATCATGTTTTGGAATTTTTCTTTTCTATATAACATATATAACTAACATTTCAACAAAACAAAAAAATTATTGGTTTTAATGACTTATATTTTTGGTTGAATCAAAACAAACAAAAATAAATGGTGAGTTACAAATATTTAATCTAAGCTTAAATAACTAACAACCTTCATTTTATAAAATATAATTATGCAAATGACATTATTGACATGATAAAAATAAAAATATTAAATAAAAATAAAAAAATATAAGAAAATAATGAACAAATTCAAATAATATTAGAAATATTTAAAAAAAATCAAGAGTAAAAAAAAACCAAAGAGAAAAAGAAAATAAGCAAAAAGGTATTTTTTTATCCAGCTACTCCTATTTACGAATTCGCGTCCACGTTGGTGACGTCACCAGCCAGGAAACCTGTAATTAAAATAAAACCTAAGACTCTCTTTCTATCTGTACTCTTAAGTACTTTCATAGTATACTGGTTGTTACCTATATACCCACATATATATCAAGTTTATATGTTTCTTTTCCCTTTTTCCTTTCCTTTTTTTTTTTCTGACTCTCCTGTTTCAACAATAAGTTTAATTAAATATTAAGAATTCAATAGTAATAAAAAAAAATAATAAAAATTATGAAAATTTTATAATAAAATATTTATTAAAAAAATTTTGTAAATGACATATATGATATAAGAATTCAATAATAATAAAAAAAATAATAAAAATTATGAAAATTATATAATAAAATAATTATTAAAAATAAATTTTATAACTGATATAGGTATATCATGTGAAATAATGAATTTTTCGCCACTTAGCTGTTGTTGTTTCTGCTGTCTTGTTGCTGCTTTCTTGTGGAGCTTCTACAAATTCTGCATAGTCAATAAGACCATTGCGTGATGTGCCCTTCATTTGTAAAATGGGATCAGTTGGAGTAACTAATTCTTCATCAGGTGGATTTACTTTTCACTTGTTGTTCTTTGCTGCTGCCTTATTCAGGCCACTGAGATAGGGATGTTCTCAATTCATGGCCATCAGTTAAGTGGCCAGATTAGTTTAGAACTTTTTAGTTTTCTTTGGCTATAATTAAAGCCTCCGATTTTTAAGAATAAATTAAAGGTTTAA